GGCCCTGCCCCCGCTGCTCTGCCCGACCGACGGGCTCGCTACCATGGGAGCCAAGGTCATGCACCCTCGCACCGACAACCTGATCTTCTTGTTTTTCCTCCACTGGCCACTCGCTAGCTGCTATGGCCGAAGAGTGGGGCAGCTGGCCCACACTCTAAATGAGCAGGCCCGTTGCAAGCAGCCAGCACCGACAACCTGATCTTCGACAAGCACAACCTCCACATGACGCCTCAGACTCGGGCAGGCCGTCATGCAGAAGAAGTGGACCTTAGCAGCGACAAGTTGCTGTTGGTGGTGGTCGCCGACGAGGATCTCGCTACCTGCAGAATTACAACGTGGTCTGCAAGGTGCCCATCAACCACTACAACGAGATCCTGAAAAAGGTGCGAAATACACCTCGGCTCACCCTCGACTGGCATCCCGAAGTGGCATATTTTTGAGGGCGCAGCATGGCACGCGCTGGCAGACGCAGCCTACGATGAGGGGATCCACGGCCACCGCGTCCTAGCCCAATCAGCTACCACAAATGGAAACAGTCAGGATTGAGAGACCGCCACGCCCGCAACCGCCCCCAGGGGTCGAACCGATCAACATCAACGTCTACGGCTGCATGCAGACAATGGTTGACGTCGCACATCCCAACTGACCTACGCCAAGAAGGGCACCACACGTGGAAGAAGCTAAGGACATCCTACTACGAACCCCACGAGGACACCTACGAGGCGGAACTCTCGCACCGCTACAACCATTATCGTCCCATTCCACAACAACGCTCATATCGTAAGACATGAGAAACCAAAACGTGAGGAACCTACGCCAATCAACCAAAAAACAAATAACAAGGCAATTACCGCTAACCCGACCCAGCAGGCCTCCCTCAAGGCCCAGCACCTCCATTCCTCCCGCCAGACTACCCGACTTAGGACTTGGGACCCGCATGCGCTCGACGAGGCAATCCGCCGCACAGGAGTCCCCGAAGGGCCACCACTAGCACACACATCGACTGCAACGACCCAAACCTTGGATCGCCTACAAGTACATGGGCAACGGCTACGTCTGCAACCACCAAATGTACTACTACAACCTGAACATCAAGGAAACGACGTGGACAGACCCAGGCAACGTACTCCTTCAAGCAGGCTGGAAAAGGGCTCTATCATCAGACAACAGTTAATGCTTTTACTATGGGAACTACAACATTATCCATTATCCGCTGATGGCCTCCCCAACCAGGACACAGCCGCCGCCGCCGCCGCCTCCCACGCCTCCGAGGCAACGGTCGCCATCGCTTCAGGCTCAGTCTTTGCGGTCGACCTCACTTCCCTCGACTCCGCCATCACAGAGTACCGCGACGACGCCAACGTCAAGGACAGCGTGGACCGATTGAGGCAAGCAGCTGACTGCATGACCGGCAACGATGTAACCGACATGTCGCCTCACGCGGCTCCTCCTCACCAATCAACACGACAACCTCGGCAGCCAGCAGGGGATGCTCATGACCACCGCGGGGAGGTACGCAGCACAGCCGCACACTGCAACGGCAGACTCACACATCAGACTGCAGCATACAACCGTGACGACACTGCTGCCTGACCTGACGGCCGCCCCGATCCAGGGGCCCCCCCACTGCCTCCAGCCACGAGGGGTCGGTCCCCAGCAGCAGCTCACGAGCCCAGCCCAAACACTACGGGGCACCAAATGAGTCCAGAACAGCGGTATCAATGGCAACGAGCAGTATACTGTACCTCCCGCTACGCTACAACGCTCCACCGGCTATTCTGACGCCGACGCCGATCGCGCAACACACCATTGCAGAGACAACATGCGGCAGCGAGACATCAACCGAGCACACCTCAGCTATGGCAGGACGTACCTACAAAGCCACCGCCGACGACACCACGAGAGAACGAAACCACGGGGCCAGATGTGATCCAAACCACGACGGATTGGGACGCAACAGCCCCGAAGGCTAACGACGACGACATCAAGCGTATCCGAGACGCAGCCATTGAGCTCGCCAAGCGACCGCCACCTTCACCACCGCAAGGCATGACAACACTGATGCGGATCAAAGACCGCATGCACGACATCATCGAACGCCTGACCGTCATGATCAGCGACGACCCATGCGAGCGCGAGCACGTGATGTCCAATATACACACCCACGGGGTCATTCTGCACCACTGCGACGAGATGCTCGAACTGACCGACCCAGCAGAGGCCGACAGAGACGCGAAAGTCGACGACCTCCGCACCGAGTACGACCAGGTCATGGCCTACGTGGAAGGAGCTCTCAACAGCTTCTGCGGGTCCCACGAGCTGCGGGACGCGCACCTTTTCTCTGCATGAGCCAGCGACAGAGGGACTTGGCAAACTACGCAAGCCCCTGCTTGGCTAACATGCTGACCTACCCAAAAGCCGCAGACACGAAGACATGCATGACCAAGCAGTGGTGCTGCAACACAAGAGAGATATCCTTACAGGTAAGAAGGTATCTGTACGACACAACCCCACGTATACGCCGACACCATTCCTCGTCACCGACCTGCAGATGCAAATCGCAATCGAGGCAGTGGTCAAGATGGCCGAGCTCATCACCAACCAGACCCCCTTGCCAAAGAGCGAGGCACAGAGCCACCAGAACCGACAACCGACCCACCCACTATATACGACCTACTGCCGCCTACCGAACCTCGCACCGGGACCGCACCACAACAGCTCGAACACCTGGGCCAACAGTCATCGACTTCAGGACTGAGTGCAGCTGAGCAGACCAACAAGGCCAGCTTGTTGCAGCCTAAATGGACCACGGCCCCGACTGGCAGAACGGTGGCTAGCAGCACTTCCGGTCACCAAGCACCACATCAAACGCAGTAACACGCCATCGGCGACACCAGCACGACTGCAACGATCCGCAACATGATCACGGACCATAACACCGAAAGGGACGTTCCCCACACCAGCGAAACCAAGCCAGCAACCACACCGCCCTCAGATGGGCACCGCACCATCATCCACGAGGGCGACCAGCAGCAGACGGACAAGGAGATTCTCCCACTCTACGGGCCCGACCCGTGGAAACCATGGCCGACCTACGCAGACGCCGTGAAAACTGACCAGCCTGACCAGCACGACTCACCTACGGCGAGTCAGGAGACTCCCCCCTGATCGCCCACAACACGAGGCAATCCTCGCGATCGGACCGGCTCAACGGTGGCCAATCAGTGCGCTTCTTCCCATACAATACATGTGCTTTATGATGACAGAGCCCTGCTACACACCCACTCCCACCTCTACACCATCCTTGAACCGACATGTACGCACTCACCGTAAAGACGGAAGCAGCACAGCTGGTCGTATGGGAATATATTTTCTCTTAGCATATCTATCGCGTGATACGGCAGTACTCTGCAGCGCGAACACCAGTGGCACCGGCAGCACATCGTGAACTCAGTGGAGGCTTCGATCACTCTCAGGCGATCGTACGTGAGCCAGAGGTCCCTACCAACCTCCAACCTTCCCCTCCTCCTGGCTCTTCTGCTCGCAGCCCCATCTCCCCCCACCGTGCCCAGCTGCACGTCATTCATTTCTGATCGTGCTCATTTCTAATTGCGCTCGTTTCTAATTGTTCCTGGCCCCCTAGTGGCCAGGAAGAGGCCCAGGATAGAACAATTAGAAATGAAAGGATCTTGGCCCCCCAGCAAAAATCAAACAACTTTCGAATACATAGAAATGAACAATGTGTAACCTTCTCTTCACACCCCATCTTGGTGGGGCATCGGTCGGGACGGCCGTGCTGGCAAGGGCCAGGTCGGCCGCGGCACCAGCCACACACAACCGTCAGTGACTTTTCAGCCCCCCCTCCGTCCTCTTCGCGCCCGCAGGGCCACCGCCACGGACGGCAGGAACCACCTCAAAACGCGGGGGACAATCTCCAAACGGCCACCCCTCCCGTGGTCCGGGTACCCTCTCCTGCCTCGGCGGGGGGAGGGTGCCAGTCCGACGGAGGTGGTGGCTACTTAGGGGGAGCTTCTTATGTGCAGGAGGTGAGAGGAGGAGGAGGAGGAGGAGGAGGAGGAGGAGGCGGCGGCGGAGGAGGAGGAGGAGGAGGAGGAGGAGGAGGAGGAGGAGGACCCTTCTGCCATCCACCTTTGGCGAGCGCGGCCGGCGCCGCCGCCGCGCACCGATAGGGGAGGGCACACACCTCCCTCACGCTCGGCGGAAACCCCCCCAAGGCGGCCCGGAGACCGACCTGCTGGGAATCCTACGCCCGCGTTCGCTCAGGCGAGGGACCCCGCAGCCGGCCTCTGTGACGCCTGTGGGGGATTCCTGCTGTGCGCATAGGGAGAGGCCCTTGGGCCTGCCCCTCACGGCTAGCGGCACCCAACCAGGCCCCGCGGAACGACCTCTCCCACGCCACTTTCACTTACCACTCTACTTTCACACAACCTCCTTTCAACTGACGTTTTTCACCTCTCCAACCTCCATGCCTTCTTACTTTATTCAGCCTGCTGCAGCTAGCCGCAGTGCACCACCTGCCCCTTTACTTTACCGCAGCCTGCCTCAGCACCTCACATCCTCCCCCAATTCCTCTTGATAAATAGGGCACCCCTACGGGGGGGGGACCCTGGGCACCCTCTGGGGCGGTGGCCTGCAAAACCACTCGACCCGAAAAAGGGGTGACCCACAGAAGGCTATTTCGGGGCCCAACCCGTGTACCCGCCGCCACACTGCCGCCACGCGGCTACCTGTTCTCTCCCCTTTTCCGTCCTTCTGTGATTATGTGACGATGTTAACCTATGACCCCACCTTCCTCCCTACCTCCTGTCATACTGGACATCGGTCCCAAATGTTGTGTTTTGGTCTACTCCACCACAGGGGGCCCGACAGGGCCTCCTGGGGAGAAGTGGCAGCGTTCGGAGAACTCCCTTGCCGTCATTGCCTCGGGACCCATGTCTGCTTTTGGCGTATGGACCCCCTCCCCCCACCCCGTTCGAGGCCTCCTTCGCCAGCAGCGAGCCCACCGACTCTGGGAGCTGCGCGGATGCCGCCGTCGATGGTGCGGCAGCAGAGTCCTTCCGGCTCTAGACTCTGGAGCGGGGAGTAGGGGCAGGGACACCAAAGCCAACAACGGCTCCAACGGTTCGGCCGCGGCGCGGCCGCCGCGCACTACATCCTGTTCTCTCCCCAAACAGTGCTTGCAACACTTTCGGTGAACCATCTCAGAACCCTCGCCGCAAAATCGCCGCCGTGCCGCCCGTCGCCGCCCGTCGCCGTCGCCGCCCGTAGCCGCCATCCGCCCTTTGCCGCCGTCGCCGCCCGTCGCAGTCGCCGCTTGTCGCCGCTCGTCGCCGCCATCCCCGCCCGTCGCCGCCCGTGCCGCCCGTCGCCGTCGCCGAAGCGCACACATTGCAGTGCATATATTGCAAAAAATAGGTTGCATCGCGTACATTCTCCTTGTTAAAAAGAAAATAGACTCTACCTCCCCGGACTTATCGTTCCCCCTGGGATAATATGATTTCATATATATATATATATATTCTGCACACTCGTCCATCCTAAATATGAAACCATACCATCCCAGCTAGGCCGGTTTCCCCCCCTGAGGTTCCCTGATAATAAAAACTATGCGGTGACATCTTTGGTTCTAACATAACATTTTTTCACAAATCCCTTGCAACAGATGAGACGAAGTGCACACGCGCGCGTCGTCGCGCGCGCATGCCGAAATCCTTCGAAAACCTTCGGTGCGGGAAGGATTTCGCAATCGAGTTTCCAAAGAACATACAAAAACACAAGGTTTCGCAACACAGAGCTGCTAAACAAAAACTTCCGCGAAAGCTCTTGCGAAATCTTAAGCGAACCATCGGTTTTTTCAATATTTTCACATCATGCTACCAAGCGGGCTTCGCGCGCGCTCATGTTGAAATCTGTTGAACGCCCTTGCGCGTGTGCCCTCGCGAGAATCCCCTGCAAAAAACTGGACGAAGTGCAGACGCGCGCGTCGTCGCGCGCGTATGCCGCAAACCTTCAAAACCCATCGGTTTCGGAAGGATTTCAAAATCGTGTGTCCAAAAAACTTACAAAAACACAAGGGCTCGCAACACGGATTTTCAACAAAACCGTGCGCGCGCGCTCTTGCGTCGTCGTCGTCGTCGTCGTCGTCGCCGTCCTCCCTCCTCCCGCGTCGTTGTCGTCGTCGTCGTCGCCTACGTCGTCCTCTGTTTTCTCTCGTGATCGTCGTCGTCGTCGTCGTCGTCGTCGTCGTCCTCTTTGGCGTCGTGGTCGTTTCCGTCGTCGATGTCGCCGTGGTCGTCCTTCCTCCTCATCCCTCGTCGTCGTCGTCGTCCGTCGTCGGCGTCTCGTCGTCGTCCCTCCTATTTCGTCGCCGTCGTCGTCGTCGTCGTCGTCGTCGTCGTTTTCCCTCCTCCCTCGTCGTTGCCGTCGTCGGCGTCGCCGTCCTTCCTCCTTCTTCGTCGTTCGCGTCGTCGCCGTCCTCCCTCCTCCCTCGTCGTTGTCGAAGTTGTCGCCGTCGTCGTCCTCCCTCCTTCCTCGTTGTCTTCGTTGGCGACGTCGTCGTCGTCTTCGTCGTCGTCGTCGGCGTCGGCGTCGTTGTCGTCTTCGTCGTCGTCGACGTCGGCGTCGTCGTCGTCGTCGTTGTCGGCGTCGTTAACGTCGTCGTCGTCGTCGTCGGTGTCGTCGTTATCGTCGTCGTCGGCGTCGGTGTCGTCGTCGTCGTCGGTGTCGTCGTCGTCGTCGTCGTCGTCGTTGTCGGCGTCGTCGAAGTCGTTGGCGACGTCGTCGGTGTCGTCGTCGTCGGTGTCGGCGGCGCCGTCGTCGTCGTTGTCGCTGTCGTCGTCGGCGTCGGTGTCGTGGCCAAGTCCCATCTGGTACCTACCGTCACGGTCTTGTTTAAAGAGGTCTTGCGACCAAGCTGCGGGTGGGAGGGTGGGATGTTTGCACGAGCAGTGGAGAGGACAGCTTCAAGACAGTCAAAGTGAGTTGCACCACATCGAGTGCACCGCATAGGCTGCATTACATAGGTTGCATCGCATACATTCTCCTTTCTACAAAACGAGGTAGGTTCTACCACCCTCCCCGTCCGGAATTACCGATTCCCCCGGAACCTTTGCAAAACACAACTGGTTCTGACCCAATGTCCATCCGACCTGTGAATTCATACTATCCTAGCCAGGCCGGTATCGGTCTTCCCTCGGTTCCCTCGCAACCGATACTATACGGTGACTTTTTCTGTTCTAGCAAAACACTTTTCTCCGCGATATCAAAAGTAAAACGCACCATGCGGGGCACACGCGCGCGGCCGCTGCGCGTGCATGTCGGGATCCTTCCAAACGCAAGGTGTTTTCAACACTTCCAACATCCCGCTTCAAGGAAGTCTATGAGTTTCTCATTCAAGAATGTTTAAAACAATGCCCGCGCGATCTTGCCGAATCCTTCAAACACTTTGTTTGTTGTTGTTTTGGTTTGCTTTGTTTTTTGTTTTGGTTTCAACATGTTCATAACATGCTACCCAGCGGGCTTCGCGCGCGCATGCCAACATCTTTCGAACGCCCTTGCGCGCGTGCTGAGGTGGCACGATCCGTCTCAAAGAAAACCATGCGGGCCACTCTCGCGCGTCTGCCGCGCGCGCGCACGTCGAACTCCTTCCAGAACCTTCATCACAGATGCGAAGACGCCGTCATCGTCGTCGGCGCGATCAGCATCGGCGCCGTCACTGGCTGCCCCATCGTCGCTGTCAGCATCGTCACCAGCATCGCTACTATCATCATCGTGTCTACCGTTGTCGACGTTGCCATGATACCGCGCCCGCCCAAGTCGCCGACTCGCACTGAAGGGCCCGCTGGGATGTGCCGAGTGGTCAGCACCACTGCGTTCGCGTCGGTCGCGCCAAACAAACTAGCTTCACTTCAGTCCAGTCAGTTTACCACGCGAGAAAGAAATCCGGGCCACGCCCGAAATGAAACGGCCTGGGCGGAGAGAGGGTACCCAATGGGAAGGATGGGCAGAGGAGCGGGGGGTCCCGCTGGTGGTGGTGTGTGTGTGGTGGTGGGGGGAGGGGGGGCGAACGGGGGGGGCGGGGCGGTGGGGGCAGTGCGACGCCGAGATGAAGCGGTCGGGGCGGAGGCGGGAGGAAGAAGGCGGTGGGTGCGGTGCGACGCCGAAACGAACCGGTCGGGGCGGAGGGGGGCGGGGTAGAGAGGGCACTGGGCTGTTGGGGAGCGCTGGGGTGAGGGCGGTGCGCCGCCGAATTAAATGGTCGCGGCGGAAGGGGTCACGCTGGGGGGAGGGGGGTGCGACGCCGAAATAAAATGGTCGGGGCGGGGGGAGGCGGAGGAGGTCCGGGCGGAGATGGCACTGGGCTGCTGGGCAACGGTGAGGGCCGCGCGACGCCGAAATATGTTGGTCGGGGCGGAGGGGGTCGTGTTGGTGGTGGCAGTGGGTGTGGGTGGGTGGGTGGAAGCAGAGGCGGGGGGGCGGGCCGGGAGGGGCGGTGCGACGCCGAAATAAAGCGGTCGGGGCGGAGGGGGGCGGGGTGGAGAGGGCACTGGGCTGCTGGGGAAAGGGCGGTGGGGACGGTGCGACGCAAAAATAAAGTAGTCGGGCGGAGGGGCGGGGTCGGGGCGGAGGGGGGCGGGGTGCACTGGGCGGGCGGGGAGGGGGTCGTGGGGGCGGGGCGGTGGGGGCGGCACGACGCCGAAATAAACTGGCCAGGGCGGAGGGGGGCGGGGTGAAAACGGCACTGAGCGGGGAGCGGTGCGACGGCGAAATAAAATGGTCGGGGGAGGGGGTCACGCTGGTGGTGGTGATGGTGGTCGGTGTGGGTGGGTGGGTGGAGGGGCGGGTGGGGCGGGGCGGTGGGAGCGGTGCGTGCCGAAGAGAAGTGGTCGGGGCGGAGGGGGGCGGGGTGCACAAGGCACTGGGGGCTGGGAAGGGTCGGGGAGGCGGGCAGCAGGGGCGGTGCGACGCCGAAATAAAGCGGTCGGGGCGGAGGGGGGCGGGGTGGAGAGGGCACTGGGCTGCTGGGGAAGGGGGCGGGGGGGGCGGTGCGACGCAGAAAAGGTGGGGGGTGGGTGGAGGGGCGGGTGGGGCGGGGCGGTGGGGGCGGTGCGACGCCGAAGTGAAGTGGTCGGGGCGGAGGGGGGCGGGGTACACAAGGGCACTGTGCGGCTGGGGGGGGGGTAGGGTCGGGGGGGCGGGGCGGCAGGGGCGGTGCGACGCCGAAATGAAGTGGTCGGGGCGGGGGGGGCGGGGGGGAGAGGGGGCACTAGACGGGGGACGGTGTCACGCTGGTGGTGGTTGTGGTTGGTGTATAATGTGGTTGGGGCGGAGGGGGGCGGGGTGGACCGGGCCTTGGACGGGGGTCGGTGTCACGCAGGTGGTGGTGGTGGTGGTTGGTGTGTAAAGTGGTCGGGGCGGAGCACTGGACGGGGGGCAGTGTCACGCTGGTGGTGGTGGTGGTTGGTGTGGGTGGGTGGGTGGAGGGGCGGGGGGGCGGGGCGGTGGGGGCGGTGCGACGCCGAAATAAAGTGGTTCGATTTCTAGACACCCTGTGCAACATAATAAATCGAGATTCAATCCCGCTCGACGAACCTGGCCTCTGCAAGCGGGGTTGCTTATCTGCCATACTCGCTCTGAGAAGCGGAGTCGCCTTGCCCTTGCGCGTGAAGTAAAGGGAGGGTTGCTTCTCAGCTGTGCCTGGGAAGGAGGGGGGGCCAAAGGGGGGCCCGGGACTGGCTCTGGGAAGCTCTCTGCCAGGCATCGGTCTGTTGAAGAATCACCGTTTCTGTCAACTTTCTGTCAGCTCTTTGCCCCAAGAAACCCCCGAAATGCCCCTCGGGAGTGCCCTAGAATGTTCCTGGGAGGGACCCAAGAGGGTCCTTGAGGACCCCGCGAGCAGACAGAAAGCTGACAGAAACCCATTCTGCTGACGAAGCACAGCTTCTGCCAGGAGAGGTCAGGAGAAGGGTGAAAAGGAGTGGAGGGGGGGGGAGAGAAGAGCGAGGCGGAGGGTGAGCGATGAAGATCATAACATTCTGATTCTGATGACGGGGATATGATTCTGATGATGGGGATGACGATAAGCAGGGGGGAAGACGACTGACGAGGAGTGACCAGTGCAGGAGTGGATCGAAATGAGGAGGCGAGACGGGCAATATCAGAAGGTGGAACCCTGCTCCTGACACCCTCAGAGGAAAAGAAAGAGAGAGAGAGATGCCGCTATAGTTAGACCGTGGTCCCCCGAGAAGCTGTTCTGTAAAAATCCAATGTAAGGCTTCCAGGGCCGGCGGGCGGCCTGCGCGATCCAACATCGGTGGTTCGCGGTCCCTGGTCGTGGCTCTTGTCTCTGGTCGTGGGTCTCTGGTAGTGGTCTCTGGTTTCGGGTATAGTCTCCCGGAATATGCTCAGTCGTCTAGCTCAGTATGCTGTAACATCCTGCGAAGTGCCCTTCAGCCGCCCTTTGTAATCCATATGAGTAGCTTCGCATAAGTGTACAGTTATATTCTACATATCTATATAATCGTATAGGTATGCGTATACCTATTTGTGTACACGAAACTACACTGTTACAGTGAGTAATATTTACATAGAAAAAAGATCTGGCCTGATTTCGGGGCCAACGGGTCCGCGAGCGCCCCTGGGGGGCTCAAGACGGCCCCAGAGGGCCCCGAGTCGCCGAGAGATCGGTCCAAGACGCTTCGGATAACCTCCAGACGGCCGAAGAGGCCGCCAAAACAACCCAAGAAGCCTCTAAGAGCTCTCGCAATACAGTTCCAGAGGCAGAAGTCGTCCCACCCCCGTAGGAAACATGTACTTTTAACATCTGTATTTTTTCGGCTCTCAGCGTCCAAGACGGCTTAAGAAGCCTCCCATACCATTTCAAGACGGCCCAAGAGGCCCTGGGAGAGCTCCGAAGACGGCGCAAGAAGCACCCACGATGGCCAAAGAGGACCCTCAGAGCGAGGGTCCAATAGGGGGAGCTCGAATTGAGTTGTCGAACCCTTCGCCCCAAAGGAGCCCCCCGAGACCGCCAGCATGTCCCCACCCAGGAGGCCCCCAAGATGCCCACAAGAGGCTCCCAAAGGTCCTCCAAAGGCCCCCAAGAGGCCTCCTGAAAGGACGCAGTAGTTCTGACTTTGGCCCCAGTAGCTCTGACCTCGAAGCTCACGAACGGCCGCGCGCCATAGCCCTCCTAACCCGATCGTATACCGAACCGAGGAACCAATCAGTACGGCGACGGTCAGAACACCAAACCATATACATATATATATATATATACATACAACTTTAGGTATACAGCTATAACTGCTGTACACACACTTTTATCGATAACGCGCGTAATCGAACATTACAGATCGGACTCGGAAGATGGGCAGGAACATGATGTGGAGTCGGGTATGATAGTACGATGCGCAATAAGAACAGGAACATGGGGATACGCACAGTAGAGAGTCTATGAGTAAGAGTTCTGTATCGGTAGTAGTACTGGTCGGAGCAAGCGCATGGGTCGTAGGAATAGAAGTTGGAGTAGCAACCGGAGTTCGAGTAGAAGGACGAGCGGGTACACGAGTAAGGGTCCAAGGCGGCCTACAGACGGAATGAGATGGCCTCGGAATTGTCTGGAGACTGCCCTTAGACCTGCCTGCCCGCACTGCTGGCCGCCCTCGCCCTAGAAGTACAACTCTCCGAAATGGCGGCTTGCCCCAAGACGTTCCCCACCATCCCCGCGAATTGCACTTTAGACTGGCGTTGGCAAGCTTTTAGGGGGTCAGGGAACCGGCAGTTCATTATTACCGAGATCGTGGACTTCTCAAGGGCACGCGCTGTATGGGGAAGGAGTTCGCGGAGGGTGTAGCTTTCAGGGCTCGTGTTATTGAATATCTTGCGCTCAAGGAACCCGCCTTGAACTCCGTCCGAACAAACAAACCGGGCTCTGAAAAACGACTCTGTGTACCGCGCTCCCTTAACAACAGACCACACCAATTGCCACATATAACCCATCCCAAAGCAATCGATGGACCGTGCAACAATTTGAAGCAGGGTCTCTGCCGCGCCATGGCGCCCCGCCTCCTTGCGCTGCAGCGCGTCGATGATGCTCTGGAACCCTTCCATCACAGACGACTTGTCGTCCTCTCCACGACCCGTCTCAAGAGTAAGGGTCGAGTGAGCGGACAGCCTGGCTGTGGTCACAGAGGGCATCGCACGCCGAGATTGAGCTGCAGACTAGAGCGGGAAGGCAGAAAGGGGGGAAGGGCAGCGGAGGGATCGCATGAGAAAACCTGTCACGGGGAGGACGGGAGCAGGGGGAGGGCCGAAGTGCCATCGAGGCCCACACGGCCGACCGACGCTGAGGCCCTCGCAGCACGTCTCGGGGCAAGGAGGGCGGGGCACCTCTCGGCGCCTGGATCACAACCAGGCCCCTCCCGCGACACATCCGCTCAAAACACGAACTGCGACCGAAGCCTCCTTCACATGGCCACATCTCGGAGGCGGTTGGGAGGACTGCAGAGTGGAGAAAAGAAAGGGGGGGCGGGGGGCAAACTAACGCACAGACCGCAGCTGGCCCCCGCCACCCTCTGGGCAACGGCTGACAACAACACACGGAGGTGCCGTCCAGCCAGTGTCCCACACGGCAAGTTCTGGCCGTAAAGAAAACGCGGCATGCCTTTGGCGGCGCGCACAAGCGGGTGGAGGGAAGGGGGAGGGCTTCTGAGGAGGCTGCTTCTCAGAAGGCGCCGGCCTCACATCTATAGAGCAGGCCCGCGCCTTCGAAGAAGCAGGGGCGCCTCTGAGAGGCCCTCCCCCCCTCCCCCCCCTCCCCCTCTGCGCGTGGCTGGCTTCTGGTCGTCTAGTCGCATTCCCATCTGGCCGAACCCAAAACCTCGCGCCTCGCCCCCCCCTCCTTGAAGGGGCCCTGGGACACACAAATAAATACGCACAATTAACAGGATTCTCCATATTTCCCCATATTTTCTGGCTTTTTGTCTTCCCCCCCACTTCCCATATTTTCCCATATTTTCTGGGGAATCGACGATGAATGGTGTCTGTGTGTTGTTTTCCCTCCTGACTCCTGCTGGCCAGCACCGGTGATGGGCCACCTCCGGCCCCCCGGCCGACTCTCCGAGGTCCCGTGCCCGCGGGCGCGGCGGCCCGCCTCCTCCTCCTCCTTCTCCTCCTCCTCCTCCTCCTCCTCCTCCTCCTCCTCCCCCTCCTCCCCCTCCTCCTCCTCCCCCTCCTCCGAGGTCCCGTGTCCGGGTGTCTGCTGCAGCAGGGTGGCAGCTCGGGAGAAGGGCGCCGCGGAGGGCGGTGTGCTGAGCAGGGGCCCGCCGTCCTGGCATTCCTATCGGCCTGCCACGACATGTCCTCAGAGCCCCAAAGTGTCCCCCAAAACTAGATCAATGTTCCTAGAATATATAAACCCGATGTGTTACACCAAGACAGTGTCGGCCAGACATGTTCTAATAACATTTTGTGTAAACCACGAGCGGTTCTTAGACCATTGTTTGGTGGGCCTATAGGCACGCCAGGACGCTTCGCCACTGCTTGAAGAAGGGCGCCGCGGAGAGCGGTGTGGCGCAAGAGCGGTGCCGCTGGCCACAGGCGGCTGGCCAGCTAGACTTCAGTCGGGCACGTCCCCCTACAGGCGGCTGTTGGGCAACGAATAACACATACTCCACAAAAGCCCCCAACATGGCAGCAACCAAAAATACAAGACAATCGTCCCCGGACGATTTTTTCAAAAAACTATTTTCGAATACTCCTCCTGTCGAGGGACATGCCCGACGTAAGGCTGGACCGAGAGGGGGGCGGGGAGGGCCTCACGCTTGGGGGGGATCGGGCGCGGCCTGACCGACCCCTGGCAAACCACCCCCCTCCGTGGCGTCACCCTCGCCTTTCACGCTCCCCTCTGGCCGCATACCTACATCTTGGCGTGATGAGAGGGGGACGCCACGGAAGGGGATGGTTTGCTAGGGGTCGGTTAGGCCGCCCCTGAGGAGAGGGCGCGCGGGGCGGGTCCTGCTTGATCACCACCGTCACCTGCCTGTCGGTCCCCGGGGTCATCGACCGCTCCCGGGCCCCCGCCGCCTCGCGCCCGCGTGTGGGGGGGGGGATAGGGCGCAGCTCCTCCTCTTCCTCCTCCTCCTCCTGCTTCTCCTCCTCCTCCTCCCTCCTCCTCCTCCTCCTCCTCTTCCTCCTCTCCTCCTCCTCCTCCTCCTCCTCCTCCTCCTCCTCCTCCTCCTCCTCCTCCTCCTCCTCCTCCTCCTCCTCCTCCTCCTCCTCCTCCCTCCCCCTCCCCCTCCTCCTCCTCCTCCTCCTCTTCCTCCTCCTCCTCCTCCTCCTTCTCCTCCTCCTCCTCCTCCTCCTCCTCCTCCTCCTCCTAAGCCCATCTGGCCTCAGCTGTGAGGGGGCCAGATCGTGGTTACGTCGGGGGGTCGCTCGATCTCTCGGCGCGATCGCCAGGCCGCCCAGGAGGTCGGGCTCACGCGAGTCGCGCGGAGCCCTGGGGGTGAGGCACTCCTGGCCTCAGCCTCCCCCTGGGCCCGATCGGCGGCCGCGGCAGCGAAGGCCGGCGCCAAGAAGAAACTCCCCAACGCGCCCCTCGGTGAGAAGAAAAAAAGGCCGCCAAGAACCCGCTCTCCGAGAAGGCGCCGCGTAACTTCAGGCTGGGCGGCGACATCCAGCTGAAGCGGGACCACAACCGCTTCGTGAGGTGGCCCAAGTTTGTCCGCCTGCAGCGCATGAAGCGCGTCATGCTCATGCGTCTCAAGGTGCCGCCTGTCATCAACCAGTTCAACATGGCCATAGACAAGAACCAGACAGCGCAGCTCTTCAAGCTGATGAAGAAGTACATGCTCGAGACTGCCGAGGAGAAGAAGGCCAGACTGATGAAGATGGCCCAGAAGAAGAAGGACAGCCAGGGGGGGAAGACCAAGAAGCCCCAGGTCATCAAGTACGGGCTGAACTACGTGACGACTCTGGTCGAGCAGAAATCAGGCCAAGTTGGACGCGTTCGCGCACGATGTGGATCCCATCGGGACGGTCGTGTGGCTCCCCGCGCTGTGCCGCAAGAAGGATGTGCCGTACTGCATCGTCAAGGGTAAGAACAGGCTGGGGCAGCTGGTGCACAAGAAGTCCGCCGCGAGCGTGGCGCTGACGACGGTCAACAACGAGGACAAGAAGGAGCTGGAGACCCTGGCGGGATATTTCAAAGGCCAGTTCAACGACAACACGGAGGTCCGCCGCAGGTGGGGCGGCGGCATCTTGGGCATCAAGTCCCAGCACGTCATGCAGCGTCGCGAGAAGGCCATTCAGATCGAGCAGGCCAAGAAGCTCGGGCTGCGGATCGCCTGAGCGGAAAGCGGCCCGCGGGCGCGTGTAAAGCTAGGACCCCTGAGGATCAGAGGCTCCGAGGGGCCAAAAGCCTGTTGAGAAACATCCAGATTGAAAACAGAGCTGTGCACGTGGTGGTGCACAATATGCGGACGTCGAGCTAAGGCGTCTGACGTGGGGCTGTGGCCTCGCTGTTTGTGCTGCGCCAGGGGGCCCCGTGCGCTTCAGGGCCCCGAGGCGGCACGCGGCACCCGCCCCAGTGGCGAAACTCGACATTGTCGTAGACGAGTTCTCCCGAATTCTCCTCTTTTTCCTCCTCCTCCAGAGAAGGAGGGGGAGGAGGAGCAGGAGGAGGAGGAGGAGGAGGAGGAGGAGGAGGATGAGGAGGAGGAGGAGGAGGAGGAATTGAGCGGGGCGATGCCTTGGCGCCCGCTGCCTCTCCCCAGGAGCACCCTGCGGCATCCCTCCCCTCACGAGGCTCGCGCTTTCCTCCCACCGCGCCCCTCGCTCAACGGGCCTCCTGCGTCGGCCCATTGCTGCTGCTGCTGCTGCTGCTGCCTCCTCCTCTTCCTCCCACCTTGCCGCCGACCCTTCCCCTTCCTCGCCATCCCCCCTCCTTCACTACGTCGATGCACGTGTGCAGCTTTCTGCCCTGATCTCCCGGGAAACCCTGTCGTGCAGGATGCTGCGTGTCAGACCTGCATGCTGGAACAAACAACATGCAAGATGCTAGGTCGGAATCTCGCGGGCCAGTGCCGATTTCTAGGAAGCCAAAATCGGGGGCGCGCAAACATGGATTAGCGATCCATGGATTTGGTGCGCGGTCGCCAAATCTATGGATCGGGGGAGGTGCCCTCCCCAAAGTGCGGCCGGTGCCGCCTCGTTCGGCGGCGGAATTACGCGATTTCACATGGAAACGGGACCGGTCGCTAATCCACGCCCCCTTGATCCATGTTTGCGATCGCCTGACAAAGGCAGGCCCCTGGCAACGCGTGGAATCTTTCCCCCCAGGCTGCGTCGCGGCAGTTGGCCTGGCCTGATGTGGCAACGGCCCTCTCGACTGCGCAGGCTCGGACCCGGCCCGCACCGTCGCGCCCTCGCCTCGGCGGCGGGGGAGAAGCAATGCAAGCGTCAAAAAACCCAATCCAAACGACTGACTAGTGTTAGAACGCTCAGAGTTCGCTAGGGACTGGTTTCCCCCCAAAACAAAGAAAACCCTTCCCAAACCCTCCAAAAACACTCCTGGAACCCTTCAGGGAGGGTTTTCGGAGGGTTTCGGGAGGATTTCGGATGTTCTGAAAGGAACCCAATCCCTAGCGAACCCTGGACTTTCTAAGGTAGTGGACCGGAAGACCAGAAAAGAGGCGTTGATGTCACAGCGACCACCAGCCATGCCAACACAAGCCGCATGATAATCCGACGCATCTGGACTGCATGTGATGTGGTGCCACCCTGTGCACAGCGCAGTATGCACATGCATAGCCACACGTGCGCACTCGTGTTTATGCAGTCTGACGCTTGCACGCATTCAAGACGCATGGCTAACGTTTGGAAATGTATGTGTGTGTGGGCGGTGCCAACTTGGCCCATGTACTGTAGCGCTGGCGTGCAGTAGTGGCTGGCGGCGATGACTCAGCCAAGGCGTTCGGACTAGCATCGCCGACCCACACTTCCCCTCAAAACCCTCGCGCAACCAAATTCCCAACCGCATCACGCCTCATCAAGCCGGAACGCGTTTGTGGCCTCGTCCCGAGCAAGCTACGGACCGAAACTAACAACAATGCCACGTCTGCGTGCTGGCGACCCGCCACCCCGACGATCGCATGGTAGCCGTGCCGACCTCCGTCCCATCTTGTGGGCCGGGAGCGGGCAGTGGCCATTCCCATCGCGGTGGGCGCGAATGCGGTGGAGCTGGCTCTCCAGGTGGGCCATCTGGGACTGCAGCGCCCTCTCCAGGTGGCCGAACTCGGGATCCTCAAGAGGGGCGTAAGTCTGCTCCCCCTCCCAAGGGGCTGGGAGTGCAAGACGAGACGGAGGCAATGGAAGGTGGGGCTCCACTGAGACCGAGGCCCCGACGATCTTGGGAGAATTTGGGGTTCCCCCCCCCTCACCCCATTGCGAAATCTCGCTGCTCCTCGACTGAAGGGTGCCAGTGACGGTGCCTCTCGGCAGACGTCGGCACGCGGCAAATCTCAACCACAAACGTGCTGATGGGCACTGCTGTACTGTGGATGGACAACTGTCGCTTGCTCCTCGAGCTCGAGGCCGCCGGCAGGCCCGGGGCCCGTCAAAGCAGTATCTTCACCGCTATTCATTAGAAGCGACATGACAATGGCCTCGAGCACATATTCGGCAATCGCAAATATCAACTTACGCACATTCGTGTCGAATCTTTTCCGGTCCGAAAAAGCTTGACTAGAAGCGGGACTGCAAGCTGCCTGTAATAACAATGTCTTAACACTAGCGAAGAACGGCCTGCTGCGCAAGATGCTGATGCTGCTGATGATGGTGCTGATGATGCTGATAATGCTAATGATGCTGCTGCTGATGCTGATGATGACGATGCTGGAAGGTAGTGAGGAGGAGGAGGACGTGGATGATTAGGAGGACGAACATGATAGACGGAGGGTTCTGATTACATGAGGCCTCCTCCGAGCGACGGCTGGATAAGCTGGTCGCAGGTGTCACTACGTGTGAGGCTTCGGGGTATCCCCACTCAAACTCTGAATCTGTTGACGCTGGCGCCTTCAACTATCCTGGTAAAGGCCCGGCAATATGCAGTTGTGGGAACCGCAATTCTGAGGATCGTCATCGGTTGAGCTCCCCGTGGGGCCACGAAACGTGAGGCGTGTGCCGCAATGGGCGGGGAGCCGCATGCGAGGACGGCCACTGGGGCCTTGGGGTCTTTGGTGGAGCTCACTTTCGGGCCACGAAACGTGGAAGGCGTGTGCTGTAATGGGCGGGGAACCGCATGTGAAGACGACCACTGGGGGCTCCCTGTGAGGCCACGAGACGTGTGAGGGGCGTGCGGATATGGGCGGGGAGCCGGTCACTGGGGCACTAGGTGGAGCTCCGTATGGGGCCACGGAGCGTGTGAGGGGTGTGCCGAATTGGGCGGGGCACAGCATGCGAGGACGGCCACTTGGGCCCCTGGCGGAGCTCCCCAGGGATGCGCCAAGCGTGTGGGGTGTGTGTGCAGCAGTGGTCGTGCGAAGGGGCGGGGAGCCGCATATCGAGTCCAGCCACTGTGGTATCAGGTGGAGCATTCTGTGGGGGCACGACTCGCGTGATGGGTGTGCCGAAAAGGTCGTGTGGAGGGGCGGGGAGCCCCCAATGGGACCACGAAGCGTGCGTGGTGTGTGTGTGTGTGTGTGTGTTTGTGTGTGTGTGCGTGCCGAAATGGTCGTGCGCATGGGCGGCGAGCTGCATGCGAGTCCAGCCGCTGGGGCATGAGGTGGGGCTCCCTATGGGGCCACGAATCGTATGAGGGGTGTGCCGAAGTGGTCGTGCGGAGGGGGCGGGGTGCCGCATGCGAGTCCAGTCGCTGGGGCATGAGGTGGAGCTTCCTATGGGGCCACGAATCGTGTGAGTGGTGTGTGCCGAAGTGGTCGTGCGGAGAGGTGGGGAGCCGCATGCGAGTCCAGCCACTGGCGGGGGTGCAGTATATTGATCCCCCTATGAGGCCACGGAGCGTGTGAACGGTGTGCCGAATTGGTTGTGCGAAGAGGCAGGGAGCCGCATGCGAGTCCAGCCACTGGGGTATTCGGTGGAGCTCCCTATGGGACCACGAAGCGTGTGAGGGGCGTGCCGACATGGTCGTGCGGAGGGGCGTGGATCCTTGTGAAGGCCACGAAGTGTGCGAAGGGTGTGCCGAGATGGTCGTGCGAAGGGGCGGGGAGCCGCATGCGCAGGCGCAAGGTCACAGGCCTCCTCGTGCCGCTCGGCCTGAGGGGTCGGACTCAAAGATCCAAGGGCTTGTTTTCAAGATTCCTGCAGGACCTCCTGAAGGGCGGCTCATGCCGCGCCTGGGGCAACGTGGCGTCCTCCAGGAGCTTTCGGCCTCATACCCCTCTCCTCGTATTTGTTTTTCTTCTTTGCCCCCACGGCGCGACAGCTCATGCTGAGCCGCACGAAGCCAGGCCTGACGACCAGCCTCGCCGCAGTGGTCGGACGGCAGGGCCCGGTGCCTCAGAGCGGCCGTGCTGAACTCCTGCAACTCGGCGGCGCAGGCGGCGGGGGCGCCGTGCTTGGCCGGTGGCCGCCCCGGCGCGGGCGCGGCCACCCCGCCGCCGAGCGGCGCGCTCCTCCGCTGGTGCCGGTGCTGCCTCTGGGAGGGCGCGGCGCTCTGCGGGGGCTCCTTCTCGGCGACCCGGACCCCGACGAAGACGGTGCGGCGCCTCCGGAGGCCCGCGGGCTGCGGCAGGTCCGGCCAGCCGATGACGACGAGGTCCGCGTTGCAGTCGACGAAGTGCTGGTCGGCGCCGAGGTCGCCCGCGCTGGGGCCCCGCTGGAGGAGCGAGGCGGCGGCGCCCGCCAGGGCGGAGCACCGCAGGTTCACGTTGCTGACCATCCGGGCGTGCTCGCCGCTCTGCGCCGCGCCCCGCAGCGCCTCGTCGAAGCGGCTCTGGTCGGCGAGGGAGCGGATCCGGTCGCCCAGGTTGACGCCGGCCACGGGGAGGCCGAAGAAGTGGTCGGCGGCGGGGTTGCCCTCGAGGACGCGCCACTCGTTGGGCACCGGCACGCAAGCGGTCTCCGAGACGGGGGCGCCGGGCTCGGCGGTCTGCGGGGCGCTCTGGGCGGTCGCCTGCTCCATCACCACGGTGCAGTCCAGCAGCACCTTCAGGGCCTGCTGCATCATGCGCTCCGAGCTCTGGACGAAGAAGAGGGTCGCCTCCTGCTGCGTCTGCTGGATGAGTTTCTGCCCCTTCCACGCGCCGAAGATCATCCAGGAGGACTGCACGACCTCACAGAGAAGGAAGGCTGGCTCAGACTCGCAGCTGGCGGTGATCGCGAAGCTTAGCAACAGCAAGACGGAGGCCTCCTTGGCATCCCGGGAGCATCCAGCAAGGAAAGACGGTACGACCATCAGAAACACCGCCCGCACCATCGGAACCTGATGGTAAAACTGCATGCAGGAAATCTGGGAAATGAAGCTGGCTATCTGGCATGCGGTGCAGACCTTCCTTGCCATGATGGTGACTGCGCTGCTGTCATGAGAGGCACGCAGCCAGTTGGACACCCAACAATCTAGAACGATGAAAAACGCAATACATACAACTATGTGGTACCGCAAGTGCCCCAGCACGCCTGTTCCGATAAAAATAAGAAGTGCGCCATACCTGATCAGTCGACATGTCGTGATCAAAATTGTCCGGGGTAACGACACGAACATGATGATGAGCGAGGCAATCCGATAGCATGGCGATGGCTTGAACCAGAATTGCTTGAGACAAAACGGTTACGGACCCTCTCTCCTCGTATTGGTGTTGGGTTTTTGTGTGCTGGGAAATCTTCGCCATGAGAGCAGAGGTATCCTTGATGGGGTCGGAGTCGATAGGGTCGGAGGATCGCGCCGCATCGCCGATACATCGCCGATGCATCGGCGATGTACCGGCGATGCATCGGCGATGCACCAGCGATGCATCGCCGACGCGGGCGGTGCATCGGCACCGTCGGCATGGCGAAACAGTGGCTCCACATCGAGCCTCATCTTCGATGCATCGGCGATGCGGAGCGATCCTCCGACCTCATCTACTCCGACCCCATCTGGGAGGCCTAAAGAAGTCAGGGAGGGGAGAAATGGCTATCCCATGCCCTCTCGGAGGCGCCCCTTCCCGGTCACCAGGCGGAGACAGGTTCGGTGTCGTTGGCTCGGGTACTCGGGCTCGTGCTCGGGGGAGCTTGCTCCTGCGAGTTGGCTCCTTGGCTGGAGACGGCAGTGTACAACCCTCCTCCTCCTCCTCCTCCTCCTCCTCCTCCTCCTCCTCCTCCTCCTCCCCCATCCTCTGGAGACCTCCAGACCTCCATCCACCCTAGGGCGGTTGGGTCCTCGGGCCTCGTCCCGGGGAAGCGGGTCGCTGTGGAACGAACTGTTTCGGACCCCGCGACACAAAAAGGTGGTGAACGGTGCCGGCGCAGAACTGTGCGCCTTAAGGAAGCAAGTAAAGCACTAAGGAGAGGTAGGACGGCTAAGAAACGATCGCTGGCGTTGCGTACTCTGTCGCTACTCAGGCGGAGTAGACGATCGCGCAAAAACACTACCAGGCAAATTTTCGGGGGTACGCGGAATACCTGGCGCTCCGGGGCAGGCGACCAGGCAATGATCAGGAGATTCAGGCGGAGTGCTTGTTCGCTCCCATGAGCACGCGTCCATGGTGATTCTGCCTGTTGTCCGATCTTGGTTTCCACCAGAACGGGGTCCGTGGGTACTAGTTCGGAGGTCTCAGATGGACCTTGGTGGTCAGGGGGGAAATGGGGGTTGCCTCGAGGGAGGATTTAGCACCAAAGTGGCAGGATGGGGGAAGCAGGAGGAGGCGGGATGACGTTGGAGATCGTCGAAGATCCCAAAACATTGGCTGCAGCTCTAGCAACAGGCAGCCGCACCTCTCTTTGGATGGAGGCCCCGCAGCTGGAAGATCAAGAGAAAGCTCGGCCGACTATTTCCTCGCCTCTTGCGTCGCCTCCTGCAAGTGAGGCACAGGGGGGGAGGGAGGGAGGTGAGGAAGGGAAAAAAAAGGAGAGGAAGGGAAAGAAATGATGAGGAGGGTGTGCAGGGTATGCAATGCTCGGACCGAGGTATGTGGCGTGCAACGCTCCCGACGTCCACGTGAAGCAGGTGTCCCTTGATTAGGTCACAAGCCGTGCCACGCTCACTTCGAGCACACACCACCGCATTAGCTGACGCAGCAAAACCGCACAGGCTGCGCCTAATTCAGGTACCTTGACGGCGTACCGAGGAATTGCATAAATCCTCTATATAAAAAAACCGGCGCAGACCACGGCGCCGCGCGAGGCAGCGAGGGCAGCGCCCTCACGCGCGAGGCACTCTAGCGCTGCTGAGCTTGGCACGGCGGAAAATCATTGACAGAGACCGACCGTCAGCAGAGCGCACCGGCGCACGAGGCACCTGTAGCTCTCGCTGCTGGCGCTACAGAGACTTCACGCGGCGCGGCCCGGAATCGTGGCTGGCCGACCCAACGCGACCTGGCCATTCAGGACTGAGTCCGAAGTTGATTCGCCACAATGCAGAGCTTGCAGCGGCCTTTGGGCGCACACCGTCAAGCGCATAAGCCACGAGGAAGATAACAAAGCCTGCAGTTGGCAGCGGCCTTTGGGCACACGCCGTCAAGCTGACCCTAGATACTGGTACTACAGGAGCCCCCTCTCGCGCCAGGGAAGGAGGACCCAGCCCAACAGCGTGTTTTCGGGATACGACTTCTACAGCAAAGACGAGCCCAGCCCACCAACGTGTCACCACCTCCTCCTCCTCCTCCTCCTCCTGCTGCCCATCGCCTTGCCTCGCCGATCGACGCCGACGCTTCGCGCTTGGGAAAATTTGCAAGGGTCATGGCGAATGCACTGTGCTGTGGGGTCCTCGCGGCGATGGCGCCCGGCGGCAGCGAGCGGACACGGGCGTTCTGATGTCCTCCTCATCCTCATCCTCCTCCTCACCTCCTCCTCCTCCTCCTCCTCATGGTCCTCGCTTCTCCTGTTTCCGCGAGGCTGCCGCACCAAGGAGCGCCCCCTACCTGACGGGCCTCGGCTCGCCCAGCTGCTGACCGTCGCAGCACGTCCCCGGAGAGGCCCAGACGGCGCGGGTCGAGATGGAGCCGTCGACGTTGACCTCTCCGACCACGAAGCCCTGCTTGTTTGAGTCGCAGCCCCAGCCGCCGCCGCCGCCCACGACCCAGTTCGTGTTCGGCCTGGTGGAGGTGGTGCTGACGTTGTCGGTGCTGTGCCGGTGGCCGCCGAAGTACGTGATGTCGTGTCGCGAGTTGTCCCTGAGTGCCGCGAGGAACTCCGGGGCGAGGGAGAAGTAGTCCGTCGGGTAGTGGGAGAAGACGACCAAGGATGTGGCGTTCGACTTCTCAGCTCGCTCGAAGAAGAGGTCGAAGCCCCGCTGGGTGCGATTGCGGATGATCGAGATGCACTCCGCCGTCGAGCCGAATTTCAGTTCGTCTTTGCTCCTGGCTCGGTCTCCGCCGACAAAGTGGTTGAGATCTAGGCCCACGACCTCGATACCCAGATCGGGAAGCTCCTTGTAGTAGCTTGTGCCTGGCATCGCGAAGAAGTCCCGATCGTCCTCGTTATAGTTTGCTTGGGCGCAATGCGACTCGTCTTCGGTGCACGCACACGATGCTTCGTGGAGGTCGTGGTTCCCGTACACGCTGTACCAGGGGACTGCACGAATCTGGAAGCTGTAGAGACTCCGCCACTTCGCCTCCCACTGCGGGTCGACCCTGTCCTTCACGCCGTTCGGATAGAACGAGTCGCCCACGTTGACGACAAACCTGACGTCCCCAAGCTCGCCCATGGTGCGGTCCATCAGCCGCGCAATCGAAGCCTGGCACTCGTGGTTCTGCTGACTGCCGTAAGCGTGCGGGTCCCAGCCCCAGTCCCCGATGACCAGGAACGAGCCCCGCCGGGGCCTCCCGGGCGTCCGCGGCCCCCTCGCCTCGCACGCCGAGCCCTCCTCGCACTCGACCCTGCAGAGGCCGGCGCCGCCGCTCTCCCCGAAGCACTGGTGGCCCCGGTCCTTGCAGCACCCGCGGGCGCTGCAGTCTTCGCCCTTGCTGGAGCACGCCCACCTGACCCAACTCGGGACTGGCAGCTTCGTCGCGTCCACCTCTGTGATCGTGCCGGGTGTGCGAGGACCGAGCTGCTCGCAGCTCCAATGCTTCCCGTCCACGTCTTGCATGTCTGGCCCGGGGACACACGAGGGCTTGCACCTGGCAAAAGTCTCGTCTTTGGCGTAGCACTGCAGCCCCTCGTCGAGGCAGCACCTGGACTCGAGGCAGCTCTGATCCATCGCAGAGCAGTCAGTCTGTGACGTTGCTCGACATGTTCACCTCCTGCGCGCCCATGTCAGCGATGTCAGCGACATCGTTGACCCACCCGACGACGACGGCCTGCGCATCCACACCAACCTGGTTGAACCACCCGCCAGCAGCGGCCTGCGCATCCACACCAGCAACCTGTTTGAACCAACCGCCAGCAGCGGCCTGCGCATCCACAGCAGCGGCGTTGTTGAGCCACACAGCGGCAGCGGCCAGAGCGCCTGCGGCTGCCAGGAAGATGAGCGCCGTCAGCGGGCTGGGCCTGAAGCAAGCACATCCGACGCCACCTCCTTTGGAAGGCGGCGCGGGCTCGCCATCGTCGGCGGCTGACGGACTGCCGGCTGCGCCGCCCCGTTCGCCTTCCGAAGCTTCCACCCTTAGCAGCACCTGCTCGGCCCCGTCGATCGACATGGCACCAGCGCTGAACGGCGGGAGCGGGAAGCGCGGGCCCAGCGCGGACCCGGGGCTCAGCGCGAGCGCAAAAGGAGGCACGCCTCGAAGAGCTTGAGCCAAAATGGCTACGGAGGAGGAATGCCGTTAGGGGTGGGCATGATCGGAAAAGGCCCTCGGTGTCTGGCGCTCACCGTGCCGCGCGCAGGCCGTCAGCGTGGCCTGACCCTCGTGGCCGTGTACGCGCCTTAGTCTGGACCAAAATACGTTCGTGCCCGGGACCGTTCTGATGAGGAGCTTCGGTTCGCGGACAAAGAGAATCGAGGGTAGAACAATCCGTTCGTCATCGGTGGGGGCTTCAACGCGAAAGTTGGCCAGCGGACAACCCAGGATGCCAACGATATGATAGGCGTAAGCGGTCGACCACGGCTTACCGACTCTGGTCGGCAGCTCAAATAGTTCTGCAGGGGCCGATCTCATTTCATGAGCACGGTGTACCGCCAGAAAAAGGCGGTCACGTGGTGGCATCCACGTTACCGCACGGCCCACCAGTTAGACCATACCTTAGCGAGGCCCCGTGACGAGTGGCACTCCACGGGCTGTAGGACCCTGCGCTTTGGGCAGTGTGGGAAAGAGGGCTGCCGCCGCACATTAAGCGTCGCGGGGTCCAGGGCGACGACACATGGAAAGAGCGCGCGGACGGAGGGGTGGCTTGGTCCGCTGATACGGATCATGAGCCTGTGGAGGTCCATATTCGGCTGTGTGATTCGTGGCTCGGCCGGGCTAAAGGGGTGGTTCACACTGCAGTTGTGTAGCGACCAACATGGTAGGCCCGACAGGGAGCGCTGCGCTAAGATGAAGCGGGAACGTTTTGGGGCCGCCGTGACGACACTCCTGATGGCGATAGGGCGCCCCATCGAATTTTTCTGAACTGTGCTCTTTGGTGAAGTCGGTTGCTTTGGAAGTTCTCGGTAAATAGCCAATGGGACGCCAGCTCCCTTGGCTGCAGGGGCATGAGGTGGAGAAAAAGGCCTTGGACGCTGAATTAGAACAGGCTAGGGTGAAATGGGCCCTGTCGCCGGAGGACAACGCCGCGAGTACGTTCGCCGCCGAGAAGGAGGTGGGTCTTCGCCGCCGCAGACTGTTGAGGGAGTGCGGGCGCGTGTATCGGGAAGGCGTTGGCCACAGAGTGTCTCGAGCGGCGCATCGTCGCGACCAAGGGGAATTATTCCGTCTCTTCGAAGTGTTGCGCCTACGACGGGGGGACCGCCGCGACTCCGGCTGGTGGAGCGCAAGCAAAGGGGAAGACAAGCGGGAATCGTGGAGGCGCCACTTCGAGAACATATCTGGCGACGCGGGGTCGGTAGCTGACAGGGTCTGGAACCATGCGCCCTGCGTCCTGGCACCCACGCTCTGGCTTGACCGGGAACCGACTCGTTAAGAATTTGACGTGTGTGTGGGCAGAATGCAAGCCGGCAGGCAACTGGGGAGGATTCATTCGTGGCAGAGGCATTGAAATACGGCGGGACGGCCCTCCGATCGGAGGTCTACCGAATTGTTCGACAGATGTGGTCGGAAGCGGCCAAGGGCATTTCTGGTGACGAACCGTCGTCGTGGCCAGCTGAGTGGCGAATGGGGCTGGTTGTCCTTCTCTGGACAAAGAAGGGTTCGTTGAAGGACAAGAAAACCTGGCGGGGCATCGCCCTCTTGTCGGTGGGATCGAAGCTACTCGCTCGAATGGTGGCATCACGGATCTCGGAGTGGCCGGAGTCGTGGACAGGGGAGGAGCAATCTGGCTTCCGCAGAGAGTAGCGGGGATACTTGTGGCGGAAGCGTCCGTGCTCACCGACGAGGTGGTCATATAGTCCTTCCTTCGACATTGCAAAAAACCTACCCGCGCGTGTGTAGAGCCTCGCTGTGGGAGGTACTGGAGAGACATGGGCGCCCCCTGGGAATGAGTAGTATTTGCAGAAATCCTTTCATGAGCACGCAGGCTAGACGGTACGAGTGTTGGGCGGCGTTTCAACTGCGTGGCATCCACTCCGCGGCCTTCGTGAGGGTTGCCCCTCCAGCCCACCACTCTCCAATGTTTCTTTTCACGATGGCGTGATGACGGATTATCGGTTCTGGAGGATGCGGGAAGCGGAAATCGATGGCTCCTGCCCTGGTATCCCGTGGGAATGCCAAGTGGATGGCCAGCTGGCCACACGCGCCCGGACTCGACATCAACAAGCTGAAGGGGCTAGCTTTGCGAGCACTCGGCGCACAACCACGATTGGGGATGTAGGCTTCGCAGATGATGCCATGATCGCCGGCTTTTCTTCGGAAGTGCGAAAGTCCGAACCACTTCTGGAGTAACTATGAGTGACTGGGAGGAAAGCAAAAGAGGAACACAAAGCGGTTGCGCCAGGGCGGTGGCACTGGAAGCCGTGTGATGTCCGCTGCGAATTCGAAATGCCAGTGCCTCGGCACATGGGAGCGATTCACGGGGAAGACGGGTCCCAAGCAGCGGGCACGGCGAAAAGGGTTGCCGCGGGCAACAACATGGGACGCGCTTTGGCCAAAACGTGGTCATTGGGTACTGACCACGGGCGGGGCCGCACAAGCGGTGTAAGTATCACCGCTCGGCTACATGTCTTACGAGCTTGTGTTGTTGCGTCCATGCTTTCGGGAGCTCGCTCCCGGTCGTTTCCAAAGGCTGGTATGCGTCGTATCAAGCGGGTCGCCAATTACGGCGTCCGGCGGGCTTTTGGCATGGACGCCTGGATCACGGACGAGGTCAGTCAAGGATAGACCTTTACCACTCGGCCCAGCGGCGTACTTCGACTTAGCCTACAATGGTTCGGCCACATAGCTCGCATGCTGGCCTGGCGCGGGCCCATACAGGCACTTTTTGGCTGGACAGCAGAAACCAGTAGTGATAAACGTAGTATCGGATGTGGCGGTATAGTTACCTACGCCTTTGGTATCACAAGTTAAGGACTCACGAATTGGATTTGTTTCGCCGGGCCATGGATCGAAAAGAATGGCGGGAAACCATTAACGTGTCTTTTCCGCTGTCCAAGAAGAGCAAGGGACATTCCCGAGCCATTAATAGTTGGACACCAGAGACCCTCCTTCCCCTTGTGGACAACCATTTTCTGCCTCTGGGCTGCGGCGGAGCTTCCGGGAAGGGTGATGCGAAGGGGGGGCGCGGGAGGGGTAGGGGAGCGGATTTCCTTCCTCCTTCTCCTCCTCCTCCTCTCCCTCCACCGGCGCCGGCTCAAGGATTCATGTCCCCGGTCTGCGATATTCCCCAATCAGTGCTTGCACTGAAGGGGCCCTCGCGGATGTTGAAAGATTTGGCGAACGTGCCCCGCCGATTCTGGTCGCACGCTGGGTTCCCGGGTTTCCGGGTTCCCGGTTCCGGGCATATTTCGGAGAGCGGCGAGGTTCCCGGGTTCCTGGTCGATCTTCTTATCGATCGGTCTCACCATCGATCTCGTTATCGACTTCTCGATCGATCTTACCATCGATCTCACAATCGATCTCACTATCAATATCACAAGCGATCTCATTAGAGATCGCATGAGCGATCTCGCGATCGATCTCACTATCGATCATTGAATCGATTTCACTCTCGGTCTCACGATCGACCTTACAATCGTCCTCACTATCGATTCCACTATCGATCTCATTATCGATCTCACAATCGATCTCAAGATCCATAGTATCAATTTTCAAATCAACCACTGATTAGGTTTTCTCAGGTGTAATGTTTTCATGACTCTCAGAACGGGGACTCATCTTAAGTATCACTATGACGAGTGTCATTCTGTACGTGATCATGAAGTCACTACTAGCCTGGCAGATCAGTGTCCCGACTGCAAGCAGTATTTTGGAAAGCAGGCCCGGTACCATCGGGCAGCGTGCGTGGCCCGCCTGGAGAACAGGCGTGCGCTTGAAGCTACTGCCGGACAGTGGATGAACGCGGTGTGTGGGCCACACCCGGCGCCTTCCCAAGCCTGGCGGATTGCGACTGACGGCTCTGGGAAGGATGCAGAGGCAGTCTGGAGGGGAGTCGTTTTCTTTTCGGCACGATGGCCCCGACACGCCGGGTCTTATCCTGGATTTTGTTCTACACGCACTATTGGTCACCCAATCGTGGGACCACCGCTGGCTGGGGGCCCGATCCAAGAACAACACCGTCGAGTTGACAACTATCGGGGAGATACGCCACTAACTCTTGGAAGAGGCCCCAGATGATGGCACCGTCCTGGTTCATATCCGGTTCGATTCTTTCTATGCGGCCAACTTGGCTCGTGGTTGCTGGGAACCCAAATCCAACGAAGAAGTGGCTGAGGCGGTACGCGACATTATAGCAAAAGTATACGAGAAGCGTGTGGTCACGTGGGAGCACGTGTATGGCCGCACGGGGGCGCATGTTAATGAATTCCTTGCAGGCCGTGCCGATGAGATCGGCCGATTGGGCCGTATCTCGGCCATCTCTTCAGCGCCTGACAGCCTCCCGCCAGCGGTGCGTGGTCTGGCCTAGAACGAAACAGACTTCTGTAAAAAGTGCGGTGCGCAGGTATATTTACAGGGGATATCGTGTAGCACATGCGTCGATGCGAAGCCGCAGGTTGGCAAATCCCTCAAGGGAAATAGTAATAAAGGAAATGCGGGATGCTAGTGAAGACCGGCTGCCGTTTTGTGCACGAGGCAAAATGCCGGGGCAACGACATTGCCAATCGGACGTGCCGCAAATGCGGCAGGGTGTTCCTGGCCCCGCCGGCGGGCATGCTCAGCCGCCATCAGGGGGTCCATAGAAAGTTCTGCAAGGCTCCCCGACCGGGGGACGCAGGGGAAGCTTCGGCTTCGGCGGCCGCCGGCGATGCCCCAGCTGGTGTGGCCTCGCCTAGGGCGGCGCCCAATCGCAAGGCCAAGGCCAAGGCGGCGCCCAAGGGTGAGGGGCGCAGGAAGGGCAAAGGCTAAGGCCAATGCCCGGGGAGCGGCCAAGCCGTTGGCGCGCGCCGGAGCGC